CGCCGGTTTTAAGCCACTGGGTCTGGGACTCGAACCACAGTCGAGTACATGGGAGTCCAGTGACATAGCCATTACGCTAACTGCTGGTCCCAAGACCCCAGCTTTCCTCAAAGAGGTTTTGAGCGAAGGCGCGACGTGAGCCGGCTAGATCTCCGGCTCGGCCGCACTGAGACAGCGAGGAGGGAGACGGCCTGGCGCCCAGTGCGACCCTGCCGTGGTCTGGGCGAGGCCAGGCGGGGACAAGGACAGAGGCCCGGTGTGAGGAGGACCCCGGTTGGGCTTCGCCCCTGACGCTCTCATCCACTCGCCACACACGGTGCTCAGTGCAGGTCTCTGGGCCTCAGCGTCCCTCCCTGTGACGGGGAGACCACCGCGCTGGGCCTGGGAGCTCGGGAAGAGACTCCGGAGAGGTGGGCGTCCGGGGGAGCCTGGCCCCTGTGAGGTGGCCGTCTGGGGGAGCCTGGCCCCTGTGAGTGCTTCCTTGGAGCCCTGTCTGCTGTCACCCTCACAGGCATGGTTGAGGGGAACGTCTCCCAAAGGGCAGGCAAAGGGCTGGGTGGGGCAGAGACACCAGCGGCAGGTCAGGTGCACAGAGCAGGACAGGCCAAGGGCGGCAGGGGATGGCGGACCAGCAGGCTCCTAGCCCCCAGGCCTGGCCCTCCTCCACCAGGCAGCAGACACGAACACGCCAGGCCTCCGCCTCCTCCCCGTCCAGTGGGAATGGAACCTGCAACTCCCCCAGATTCTGAGCCTGACGGGAGCAGGGAAGACGGCTTTCAGCTCTGACGTGTGGTGTCATTGTCATGTCGTTGTTTTCTTGCTGTGACAACAGACAGTAAGTTTCCTGGCTCCCCAAGGCTCCCAGCCCCCGCGGCCTGTGTGCCCGCCCCACCCGGTGACTCCAGCCTGTGCCAGGTGAGCGCTCAGGTATGCGAAGGCGGGACAGCCCTGGGAGGGAGCGGGCAGGAGGGGCCACAGCCTGGAAGGGAGAGGAGGGCTGACAGCCAGGCAGAGCGACAGGGTAGGTGAGGAGCTGGAAGGCTAGGCCAGGTGAGCAGGCCAGGCGAGCAGAGGCCAGGCGAGCAGGCCAGGAGAGTAGGCCAGGCGAGCAGGGGCCAGGCGAGCAGGGGCCAGGCGAGCAGGCCAGGTGAGCAGAGGCCAGGCGAGCAGGGGCCAGGCGAGCAGGCCAGGAGAGCAGGGCTCGGTCCTGGAGGAGGGCTCCCAGGTCTGGGGAGGAGGGGCTGTGGTCTGGACTTCAGGTCTACGGCAGAAGGCAGAGCCTGGACCCCTAGGCCTGAGGGAGGAGGGGCTAGGGCCTGAACTCTGGGTCTGAGGGAGAGAGCGGGAGCCTTTCCCTATCTCTAAGGGACGAGAGCTGGGCCTGGAGCCCAGGGCCTGCCTGAGGGAGGAGGGGCTCGGCCTGTATCTCTGGGCCCAAGGGAGGCGGGCTGGGCCTGGACCCCTGGCCTGAGGGCTGGGGCAGGACTCACAGCTCGGCCGACTCTCAGGCACTGCAGGTGGCAGGAGCTCCCGTCCGGTCCGGCACCATGAGCAACACCGTGGGGTAAGTGCCCCTGCCCGCCAGGCCCCACCCACCCCCTTGGCAGCAGCCCAGGTGGGCATCAGGAGGAAGTGGCCTCCTCCCTGCCCAGCCTGTGGTCAGGAGCGCCTGCTCTGGGGCAGGCAGGCCTGGGCCGGGCCATGGCCACCCTTCGGCAGTGGTACGACCCTGCCTGAGGACAGCACCTCTGAGCGTCAGCCCCTCGTCCGACAGGCCGGTTCTGAGAGTCTGCAGGTCACACGGAGTGGCCGTGGCAGCCGTGGCTCAGCTCGCAGGAGCTCTCACTCCAGCCCACCTCTCCTTGCTAAATATCGACCCTTCGCCAGAAGACCAGGGCTCGGGCCGGCCCGTGGGCTGTGGTGAAGGGAGCCAGATCCCACGTGGCCAGCAGTGTCCTTGGGATCCCAGTCCTGGTGGCATGAGAAACACGCTAGCTGCATGTGTGCCCCGGATCCCACAGCATGGAGACGGGAGAAGGGGTGCAGAGTGACGGCCCTCTCTCTGTCAAGCACATGCCCCTGGTGAATTAAAGAAAACAGAAAACGAAGCCAGGGCTGTTTGTGATGAAGACTCGCCCTCCTAGAGCGAGCAGGGAGAAACAGAGGGATGAGTCAAAACAGCTACATGGGACCAGCAGATGGCGTAATGGTCACGTCGCTGGAACCCCACATAGGCGACCGCGGTTCGAGTCCCAGACCCGGAGGCTTAAACTCACACCTGGCACATGTGCGTGCATGCCCAAGATTCAGAGAGGAGATGGAGGATTGTGGTGTGGCCACCCCCCCGGGGCTGATTTCTTGCTTTTAATCTCTCTGTCTGTCTGTCTCCCCTTGAGTTTACGGGCCCTATAACAAAAATCTCTCTTTGAAAACAAACAAAACAAAAACCCAGCTGCTCGGGGACAGGAGAGCTCCAGCCCCAGGCAACGTGGTGCAAGGCCGTCACCTGACCAGCCCAGCAGGAGGGGACAGGAGCTGGCCCAAAGGGTTCTCAGCTCGCTGTTCCCGAGGTCCAGGTTCTGTCATTTCCAAAGAAATAGGCATGCCGGGTTCTTCCTGGAGAACTGGCCTCGGAGAGCAGGCCGGAGTCAAGGGGTGATGAGGAGGGCTGTCTGGGAGAGGCCGGCCCGCGCGGCATGGGAGGGTGGTCCCTGTCTCTGCGGTCCGACTGCCCCGTCGGCCAGCTCCGGTACTGAGCAAGCGCTGCGTGCCCTGGGTCACCGCCCCAGCAAGCACAGTCGCCGAGCTGTGAGACTGCGCCCGCCCCCCGGTGCTGCTGTCCAGCAGAGAACACGGAGGCAGGGCGAGCACGCCTCCAGCCCGGGGTCTCAGGCCAGGCAGTGGCAGCCAGAGGACTCGAACCCGGGTCTGCGCGACAGCTGCACATGCCCAGCACCCCCAGCAACACTCCTTAAAGCCCAGCTCCAGTCCGGCCCACTCTGCTCGAAACCCTCCAAGGCTCCCAACTGTCCTCGCCCTGAAGTCTCGCTGCCATGGCCAGTGGGGACGCCCGTGACCCGCCCCGA